CTGGTAGAGATGCAGTTATACAGTCTACCTGGGCCCCACAAACTATCAGATAAAGAGAATAAAGGGAGCAGAGGAGCAGAGATGGAACAAGAGCAGGTGAGACAGACATGTTAGTCAAATGGTTGTTTGCCAAAACTCATAAGAACATGTATCCAGTACCTAGTGTTTGTTTTTAGATACTATTTGTTACTTTTCAAATTCTATATTTATTAAGTTATGCAGGCTTGTTTGCACAACAAGTTCAAATAATTATATAAACTTTTCTGAATCTAAATAATGGACTTTGGTAGAATTAAAAAAAATATGTGTAGTGCAGGTCTATGATGATTTTAGTGCTACTATCATCTAGTTTTGATTCTGGTTCTGGATCTTTGGTTAAGTCCTAAGTAGTCCTGATTTTGAACTGTTGTAGTCCTGTTTTAATTCCGATTCAGTTCTGGGTCTGGTTGAATTGAGGTTTAGTCCTCATGTTTTGATACAGCCCCGACTTTGTTCTGCCTTGCTGCTTAATTAAAAACCTTGTTTAAGGTGTCCTGCATATGTGATATATATTTTTTTCCTATATGGAGTCATTGTTTTTTGAACAAAATTCAAAACAGAGCTTATTAATCTTTCAGTCATTTCTACCCTCACTTAATTTCCTTTCGCTGCTCAGCTCTCACACAGTGGCTCAGCTATGCTCCAATCCCTCCATATTGTGTCCAATTACATGCGAGGATATAGGATAATATCATTATGTGAAAAACAGAGAGGGTGAGAGACGCGACAGTCAAGTGGAGTGTGCGTCTGTCCTCTGAGTAAGTGAGTAAGACAGTAGACAGTGGTGAGGAGGGCTGTGCGAAAGCAAAAACACATAAATATGCCTGACACCCATAAACAAAGCAGCATCTGGCTGCAGTTTAAAGACTTTTTTGTCTTGGTCTTGGTCTCGTCTCGACGGTGTCGGTCTTGGTCTCGTCTCGACTTGGTCTTGTCTTTGTCTCGATACCCTCTGGTCTTGGTCTTGTCTTGGTCTCGGATTAGGCGGTCTTGACTACAAGTCTATCAGATACTGATGCTTCACGTTGACCCCTGCTGCATCTTCTCACCTCTAAGGGAACTTTGCCCTTCATCATCATCATAGTCATCATCAAATCATCTGTAACTCTCCTCACAGTGTTAATCAACTTCATTTACTGGAACGTGGATGGACAGTAGGTTTTTCCATGGGTCATGGTAGAAACTTGACAGACCAAGTGAAGCCGAACAGAGAAATGATTGATTCCACCTTCTGGTTTTGTATTGTGTTTTTATATATATTTTATATATTATCCATGAATTTTCTTCTCTCATTTGATTCATGGGTTGTCCTTTGCCTTAATGCTGAGTCTTTCCATGGCAGTTATCTAAAATCAAATGTGTAACTGCCACACTTTGGTGGAATTACTAGATGCTTCAAGTTGAGAGATAAGAAAACGTTTGGTAACTGACCTCTCACCCCTAGAACAACATCTTGCTTCCTGACAGTTTGCCATGATTCAGTGTTTTTACTTCCTTTTTAAGCTAGCCCTTTGTGCCAATTTTACAAGCATTTGACTTCTGTTTTTCCTCTCTTTGACACGTTATTTTGCTATTTTGGCGAGTTGTTGTATGCAATTTTATTGCTGCATGCTATTTTAAGAATCCTTTAAGGCTTTTCACTGCTTTTATTTGTAGTTCTTGTCTTATTCTGACCTCAGAATCGCCCACTAGATGCTTTGGAGTTGACTTTGATTATTTGACTCCCAAACTCTTTGTCCTACTGAAAATCAGGTCCCGAAAGCCAGTTTGAACAGAACAGCTCTGTAACAATGAGGCTTCTAGAGTCGTTTGATTAATATCGATCTAGTACCGCTGTGCTGCATCAGCTGATTCTCTTTTGAGTCTATCGTTCTTTGATGACGTTTTCCAAAAACCTTACATAGTCCTTCTTGAATTTGAGATTTTCCTCTAGTTTCCTTTTAGTTGCTTGAGCTACACAGAACCACCTGCTTATTTTCCGGTAGCTGAGTGCGTTTCATGAAGGGGAAGCGAATTTGTAGGTTTCTATTTGGTCAGCACTTGTATGCAGTGTATGTAATCCTGTCATATGCTCTTTTGCCACAAGATTTGTGTCACTGAAGTCTGACATCCAAAGTATTCTGACACAATAACACAATACATGTTAGAGCAACTGCAGGTGTTGATTCTGAAAATGAATTATGAGTTATGGCTGCAAACAAACAAATAAAAAAACAACAAAAAAAACATTTTAAACCCACAAAATATGCAAATTTACAAATGCTGATAATGTACCACTAAATT